GGGGGGGGGGGGAGGGGGTCGGTAGGCTAGTTTGACTCCTTTTGGGATGTTATTTTTGTAGGTTCGTTTTTCAGTTTTGGTTCTCTTGCTTGTGTTGGCGCTCTTGTATTCTTTCAGTTTTTTGGTAATTCTCAAGTTGATCGTTCTTTTAAAATTCTACATGTCCTTATAGTTGAAATTAACATTGTCTTGATATTTTAGTTTTTATTATTTTCATTTATATTATTCATGGTAACCATCTTGAATTGTTTACTTTGACAATCTGCAGGATGGAAATTACATGGTTGGATGTTTGGGCTTTCCCCAGGTGCGATGTGATCATATACCATGATGGGTGCCACTTGTTATAAATAGCTTGTTGGCATATTAATTTTCCATGAAGAATTAGGAATTTGATTGTTATCTTGTCCTCCCTCATTTCCCTCTTTTAACACTCACAAATACGTACACTAGTTAGATTTTTAGTCTAGAAAACGATATCTTACCGTCGAGAAGTCCCTTAAGCCAAGAAACAACTTTTCATCAATAGATGAAAAGATACAAAAAATTCCAGGAAACTACCTTCCAAAGGAGAAAAGAAAAATCAACAGCCAACCAAAAACGAAAATGAGCCAAAACAACAGCTTGGAAAAAAGAAACAATTAAAAACCTCAAATAGAACAAATAATCGAACCAACAACAAGACTAACCCCCAACAAAAAGCCAAACAACCAAAGAAAACGCTTGAAAAACTTAAGAAACAGAACAAAAATGACCAACAAAAGAATATTCCCAAGCAGCCAAAGACAATCAGGCAAAAATAGCAAACCAACCGCTCCTAAAGCATCTATAATCCAAAAAATAAGAAAGCTACCGCAAAGCTGAAAACACTGTGAGGGGAAAAATGCCATGGAGGGATAAACAAACTGAAAACAAGGCTGAAATGGAATCAAACTCAACCATGAAATCAGCAAACCCATGAAGATAACCAACAGAAAACACCAAGAAGCAAGAAGAAAACCACACAGGACAGCCAAATACTTCAAAAAACCAAGGAAGAAATCTTCATAGATGGATTCCTAGGCTTTAACCTCATATCTCAAGGTCACTAGTCTTTAGGAAGGTCACATGTATACACCCGTCAAGGTTAAAATGACCAAAATGTACTATAGGGGATGTGACTAGTTGTTAGTTTTTCCTACCCGTGTTGTATGCTATCAAAGCCATTATTGTTACTTACTCGCTTTTAGCTTATAATATTGCTTTCTGTAAATTTGTTTTCAACGTATTTCCTCACTCATGTTTTCTAAAACATTTGTCTCAAACGTGACCTAAGGCTCGAGCATACACCGATATTGTCCGCAAAATACGAATTTCACACGGTTGACTTGTTCACTGGGTTAGAACAAGTGCCACACAATCGTTGTCCTGCTGTAGCAAGAGTGCGATTGTGGCACATGACACATTATTTTTAACTTGCTAGTTTGTTCTAGTTAACACTTTTACTAATTAAATAATTCCGACCTGTTATAAGTACCAAATATTTTTTAATGAGAAAACATATTGATTATTGTGTCAGCAACTACCATTACCCCGATTTATGTGTTAGATAATTATTTAACGTATGTTATCTACCAATTTCCAGTGTAGAAATGTTGTCTGGCTCCCAGGATCCATTGCAGAAGCTGCAGTAACCTCTAATCGTTGCAACTCATGCACTCCAGGTTTCTATCTTTTCCTAGCTTCGAATTCACTTCTGTATTTTTCCTAAAAGGATCAGAAATAACCTTAGTGTAAACATCATTACATGTTTGTATCTATGGTTGGATTGGGGGCCCTAGTAGAAAATGAATTACAAAATTACGTGTAACCACATTGCACATGCGGCAAGTTGGATTCCAGTTTTTCAACATAAAAAATAAATTGGGCAAATATCAATTTCTACCCCTAAACTTTGGAATTTATCAATTAAAACTCCGAACTAATAATTGTCGCAATTTAAACTCTACACTTTCACAATTCAATCAATTTCGATCCTCCATTAGAATTTTAATTTAAAATGATTAATGCATAACTTTTACATGTGTATAAGACTTCAAGTGCAAAGATTATGTAAATTAAAAGAAAATATGAGAATAAAATAGATAGCAACATTTTTTCATCTTCTCATCTTCCACTATTTTTCTCAGCGTATCTAGAAAGAATTACATGATAATTTTTCTTGTTATTTTGGTGAGTTTTTTATTTTATTTTCTATATTAATTTATTTTAGTGATTTTAAGTTGATTTTAAGTCGATTGAAGTGAAAATAGCTACAAATCACGAACAAAAGGTCGAAATGAGCTTTACTTATAAAAGCTCATGGTTTAAATTGATATAACTATTAGCTTGGAGTTTAATTGATACAATCCTCAAAGGTTATTAGCTTGGAGTTTAATTGATACAATCCTCAAAGTTTAGGGGTATAAGTGTATATTTTCCCAAATATATAGAACCAAAAAATGAGTGTTATTTTAACATATTACTGATGCTGTTATGTTAATTGTCTTTGCCAGGCTGTCTTATAGAATGATATGTTTCATGTTCTTGACATTTCATTTTCATGTCTAATTTCCATTTCCTATCTGAAGTCATTAACTAAAGTTGTCATCGGGAATTCGTTAATGTGCTTTTCAATTTTCTTATAGTGTGGTCAACGTACAGTATAGTTTCTATGATTGTTCTCTACAGAGTTAGGAAATAATGAATCTCTTTTATTTTCTGAAAATTCTTCAAATAGGTCCTGTTTACTTGATCCAATTTAAGTTTCGCCAGCTGGAAATACCTCCAAACTACAATCCTAACCACTTGGGTACGTACTATTATTTTAATCATGGGACATCGTTTGAGGTTTTGTTAAGCATCTGCTGTCTTCTCTTTTTGACATATTTTGATACTGCATGGGAGTTGCGCAGCTATTCATATATGCGTTAAGAGTGCTTGCATTCTCCCGTGAAAATGATGAAAAATATGTGTATATTTTTTCTACTTTACATATTAAGCTTGCAGAATCTAAGATTTTTCATTCTTGTTCATGCTTTATTTCTAATCTGGAGAATCAATCAGTCTATTTAACATGGAGTTGTGATGACTAGGACATATTTAGTTTCTTTATGTTCTGCTATACAACTTTTGTATTTCACTTTGTTGTAATATTAATGCAGCAAAAAATTATAACTCTTGTTAACGACCAGAGACTGAAAGAAAATATATAGTTTCTCTTGATAAATAGAAGAATACAACCCTAATTAGAATAGATTTCATTAATTACGGAAGGGCCTGGAAAGAACAGGAAGCAATTATACTCGTGCACACAAAGTATCTCAATTACACTAGTCTACACAGATTAACCATAAAGAAAAAAATGAACAAGGGCCTAATGAGCAAGCAAATAAGATGCAACAACCCTTCGTGTTCTCATCACTTACTGCATTTAGCTAACCCGTTAAAATGTAGTAATTGCAGTTTGCACACAACAAGACAGTAGAATACGGAGTAAATTTTGATGTTTGAGCTTTTTACCTCACCACATCAAATTTGTTATTATTATCACCTTTCCATTTGGATAAAATTATAAACATATTTTGGTATTTGAGGAAAAGTGAAAGTGGGAACCTACTCCATATATTTTCATAAACATCCACGAAGGTTTGCGGACCTACAAATATAAGTACAATCAGCCTGACAAAGTATACAAGCTGTAAATAAAAGGAACAACCTGAAAATGATAAAAATATTTCAGGCACTAATTAAGTAAGGTAACAGAATAAGAACAAGGTAGAAACAATAAAGAAAAAAGAACAGTGGTGGCTAATTTAAATAAAAAATCTACTCTGGTGCATTTTACCTATACTAGGAGAAGAATTAGCATGCGGTTATGTTAATTAATCACTGCGTCAGTCTTTTTTTTTTTTTTTTTTTTTTTTTTTTTTTTTTTTTTTTTTTTTTTTTTTNTTTTTTTTTTTTTTTTTTTTTTTTTTTTTTTTTTTGTGTGTGTGTGTTGTTGAAAGCTGAATAGGCCTTATTTGGCTCATTAGTCTTCTCATTCCCTTAAGTGGAATGAACCCTTGTGTTACCGTTTATAGTACTATTCTTTTGTATTGTTTTTCCAAATTTTCCCTTGATCTTTATACTAAATTCATGGTTCTTCGATTTTATGATTAGGTTGTATAGGTGGTTGCGATGATATTCTTAGGCAATTGACTGAAATCTGTGGTACCGGATCCCGCATATCAGGCATGTACTTTTGTGCAATTATTTGTTCAAAACATTTGACCTGTGCAGGTTTGTTTTGCTTTTGTTTCCATTTTTTGGAGTTGAGGGCCAAGAAAAAGTATGAACTCGTATGCTGTTCACTGAAATCTGTTTCGTTGATCAAAGTCTCTTCTACGTTCCATTAAGCTAAAACAAATTTACCATCCCTCCCCATACCTGTTTTTACCTTACCAAGTTTCTGGGGAGCAACAGCGGGTTATTGAATGTTGAATGGTGTTCACTGCACCATCTGATTAAGATGTATATTTATAAATTGGATTTTTTTTTTTTTTTTTTTTTTTGTGATGATTTATAAATTGAATTTTGAACTTGAGACAGTCTCCTCCTTTAAGAATTAAGTACCGATCAATGGTCTCATTACCTGTTCCATAAAAGCATGATTTAGAAGGGAAAATAATCCACATGACCCAAGAAATTAAAAAAAAAAAAAAAATCCTCTTGCAAAAATATATATGATTTCAGCATCAAAGGAACACTTCCTTTTACTTTTCCTCCCATTTACTTTTTGCACATTCAAATTATGTTTTCCAGCTAGAGGTCGAGGGACTTCATCATCCAGTGTGCAGCGGGGTAACACTGCGCAAAGTGTCTGCGTTTTCTGCCAACAATTAGACCATTCCTCAAATGATTGCCCTTCCCAGGTTGTAGGCTCCAGAAGTGCTCGTCATCGACAAACTGGTAAGCATGATTTTCTGTCGTCTATCATTGTAAATGGACAGTTGATACATTTTAAATATTTTGAGTAGCTTTTATATTTATTTTCTAGTATGGATGTCGGCCCAAAGCACTGTCAAATGCTTAATTTTTTTCTTTGGGTCGTTTGCATATCGTGAAGGAACTTATTTACCTTTTTTTGAAAAGACATTATTTTCCATTGTAATCATTGTTATTTTTACGAAGGGGAATCTAACAAATGTTAGTAATCAACGAAGATTTTGAACTTCTGAAATTGTGGATCATCTTTGTATGCTTTTCAATTTTTTTTTACTTCTGTTAATCCTTCTTTTTTCCATCTTGTTTAATATTTTGTTGGCAGGAGAATCTTCATTTTCATGTAGTAACTGTGGCACACCATGCGTCTTAAGGACTGCTAATACTACCAATAATAGGGGAAGAAAGTTCTACAAATGTCAATCTCAGGAGTGCAATTTCTTCGCGTATGCAGCTTCCTTTAACTTTGTTTTTATCTCTTAGTCCTTTTTCTTTATGACATTGACATGAAAACTCAAGCATTTGACAATAATGATAATCTACCATGATTTGCCTTCACACTACCGTAGTTTTGTTCCACAAGGAGAAGGTTTCACAGTAAATCAATTCAAACTGTTAATATTGCTTAAATACATTTATCTTGTTAACATAAATGTAAATAATGCATCCTTTTGCAGATGGGAAGACAGCGTAGACAGTGTCAATGGAGGAAATAGTGCTGCACAGTCAAATATCAGGAGCTCGGCCTCGGCAGCTTCTAATACAAACCCTGGTCGAAACACGGGACGTGGTCGAGGTTGGGGCCAGGGTCAGGGTCAGGGTCAGATTGCAGCAACATTTGTGTCAGCAACTGGTGAGCCAATATCTGATAGAAGATGTTTTGTTTGTGGCGATCCATCACACTTCGCCAATGTTTGCCCAAACCGTGGTGCTTGATTCCGAGGAATAAAGTGTTCTAGTATGATTCGAAACTTTGGTTCAGCATTTGTCACATGTATAGTTGATTTTGAAATGGGATTCAGAACAAGTCCCTTTTTATGGCGTTTTTTTTAAATAAAATCACGTCGCTGCACCATACTTAAACACGAGATTAAGATACCCGAAACATTTATGCTTGAAACCTAAGAAGCATAGACACTATAAGGTAATTTCTAAAATTTTAGGACATCATTATGCTTTCTTCTAAGTATAAACTATTTTAATACAATTCTAGTGCTAAAAATTTGTTTTAATTTATGATACTTATGGCGCAAGTTCATATTCATTTGCTTAACAAATTGTTTTATTTCAAACTTCACCAATTATGTATAATCTTCAAATCTTGCCAGGTTCAAGTCAAATAAATATCACTTTCTTTGGAAAAAAAATTAATCTCTGATTTTATTTTCGTGAGAAACGTCTTTCATTCGAATAGATCTAAACCGTAAAATCTAAAACATGTAGCACCATAACAACGATACTAATTTAGTAATTAACCCAAAAGCCAAAAAGAGAATGGTAAGAGAGGCCGAAAATGACATGTAACCCTCTCGTCTCCAACCTTATTTACATGGGTGCTTCCTTGAAGTTTCTCTTTAACAACCCACCACAAATTTAACTCTTATTCATCACATATTTTATCATTAAATTTTAATTTTGATTAAAGTCATACACTAAACGTAATTTAATCGATAAAAAAAAATAGCTTTAAGATTAAAATTAACTTGAAAGATATTAGCTCGAATTTACCTTTAACAACATAAATTGTCTTATATGTTAAGATCTTACCGTATTTTAAAGTATAATACAATACAAACTTGTACGAAGAAGAACTCGATTTGATTAACTCATAATAATATGGTCAAATATGAATATATATTTTAAAAAATAGTGTAATGAGTATAATTAAATAGAAATCGATATGTATTATCTAAAAAGATTAATTTTTAAAAGTTAACTGTAAGTAGGGATCAAGTTTAAGATTTATTAAAATTACGATAATAAATTTAGACCTATAATAAAAAAAAATATATAAAATGAAAAAATATTTTAAAAAGTAGACTAATGCCAATTGACTTAAGCGAAGACTTATTTATTTATTGGATTTTTAAAAATCAGAAAATCAAAAGTGAAGGCGGCTATTTTTTTTTTAAATTAATTACAATTTTTTTTTTTATATATTTTTTAATTTTTAATTTTTAATTTATTTTGGGGACAGAAGAAAAAGGGGCTTTTCTAGTCATCCCCACCAGGGGTATTGTGGTAAATATACCATTCCATAACGGCCAAAACAGAAGAAACATAAAATCCAGATTGAAGTCATCGTCGCCAATCGGTCAGAAGCCATTTGCTCTCAGGTTTCGATTATCGTTTCAAGCAAAATTTGTCCAAAGACTGTGTATAATCACCGATCAAGGTGCTAAGTTTTCGATTCAATACTCTCCTTCTGTGTGTAAGTAATTGCAGATACGTTCTTAGTTTCTAATTTTGTTGAATGATTTCACTTTTTTCGCTCAAATTTACTCATCTTGTGTTACTGGATTTCTGTGTTCGTTGAAGTGGGGATAGAAGCAATGGCGGTTGGTAAGGAACAGGTGACTCATGACATAGTGAAGCCTCGTACTGACAAAAGAGAGTACAGAAGAATCGTCCTCAGGAACTCCCTTGAGGTTCTGCTAGTCAGTGATCCTGATACCGACAAGGCAAAGCCGACTTTCACTTTTGTTATTTGTTTTGTTTTTTTTTTCTCTTTTCAATCTGGTTATTGTTTTGTTTTTGTTTTTATCTTGTGCATCCGAGTGAAGTTGCTCAAATTAGGGCTCTGTGTTCTTGAATTCATGTGTGTTTATCTGTTTGAGTTTCAGAGTGCTGCTTCCATGACTGTTAACGTTGGTTCCTTCAGCGACCCCGAAGGCCTAGAGGGTTTAGCCCATTTTCTTGGTAAGAACTTGGTTGTGTGTGTGTGTGTTTATTATTTATTTATTTTTATAATCTATTGGATTCACTTTGTAACTTAAATCCACTTATCTTCATTTAGGCCTTCATTGGTGATGTTTACGCCTCTTTGTTCTCTGATCCTTTGCCAGATTTTGTGTATTTTTTTAACAATTAATTATTTGAAACATGGTAAAACATTTGAGAGATTAGATAGAACTCAAAAAAGAAAAAAGAAAGAAAGAAAGAGACATTTGATAAGATGAACCGTTGGTTTGAAAGTCGTGACTAAAAACAGTTTCTGAAGCAAATGTTCTTTTCTGAGACGATACTATTGAAAAGCAGTTTTTATTGATGCATTTGAAGTTATTTGTTCAATCATCAATTATTTTCTGAAGTATATTTTATTTTAAATGTGTGATATTTTAAATTAATATGTAGAGTAAATAAATGAAAAGAAAATAAGTAAATATTGTTTTAAATTAACAAAGTAGAAATAATGCTGGCAGTTTTAAGAAACAACTTTTAGAAAATTCGCCTACTGACATGTAGAGGAAGAGCCACATAAGGGAGGTTTATGATTGGAGTTGCTAGGGTGTGTTTTGTAGTAGTACGCCAATTTTCTTTATTTTGGATTCTTTTTAATGAACTTATATACAATTTTTTTGGCAGAGCATATGCTGTTTTATGCAAGTGAAAAGTATCCATTGGAGGATAGTTACTCGAAATATATCACAGAGGTATCTAGATTACTGTTCACAGAAATGCATTTGGCTAATTGCACATTCATTCATGCATGTGAAAATAATGGGATGCTGATAGCATGGTTAATTTGCTCTTATTTGGTTCATCAGTTCTTCTCTAATGTAGATAATCCCAGCATGAAGTTTAGGACATCAAAAGCATGAAGTTATAATATCTAGACATACATGTGCTTCAATAGAACTTTGAGTGTACAATGAAAATGTACAACTCTGTCTTTTCTCTGTTTGTTTTGCCATGAAGAGTTTTTATGAACAAATTTGAAGATATTGTCTAGGATTTCTTTGTTTCAGCTCCTTTTTATTTGGGCAAACTTCTTTTGTATTCCGTGGTTGCATATCCTTTCATTTGCTTTTAATCAGTTAATTTATTTTGAAAAATTAAACATTCATTAAGAAAAAAAAAAAAAGAAAAAAAAGAATGTAAGGGTATATAAAAACGCCAAGCCCACGACAAAATAGCCTACAAAAGGGATCCAAACGATAGAAAGAGGTTCTAATTGAGTAAGATAAGACCCAAAGGATAATTAAAAAGAGATTTCTCATTGAAGCCCAGAAATAGAGCCTAAAAAAAGAACAAACATCATGAAATTCCATCAACCCTTCTAAAGGTCCTATGATTCCCATCTCAAAGGCTCTAAAGGTCCTTGAAAAAATTTCTACTATGATAATCAGTTTGCAAGAAGTGGAAGATATGCTGATTTGTTGGGCTGTGAGATTATTATAGGGCCTCTTCCTTTTGGGAGCCAATGGTCGAAAAGTATAGAAAGATTGGATTTTTCAAAGGGGGCTAGACTAACTCTCGCCCAATCTGTGCTAAGCAGTGTACCTCTCGTCTACTTTTCCCTGCAAAAGGTTCCAAGAAAGATCACCAAATTGATAGGCTGGTTCAAAATTTCTTCTGCGATTGTGAAGACTCCAAAGCTTGCAGCCATTTAGTAAAATGGAAATGGACTTTTCTCCCACTTTTCTATGGAGGTTTGGGAATAGGCTTGTGCTTACAAAGAAAGAATGCCCTGCTCCTCAAATGGCTTTGGAGATTTACTCTGGCATCATCTAGAAGAAATTGATCATAAGCTTCTATGCTTTGACCGCTTTGGGTGGATTATCATGGTGGGATGTAACTAAAAGTGGTGCCTTTTTAAAAAATTTCTTGAAGTTTAAAGCTTTGAAAGGAGATAGAATCGTGGAATGTGGTCAACAAATTCTGGGACCTGAAGCCTAGTAGGAATTTAAAGGATAATGAAGCAATTGAATGGGCTGAATTAAGCTTTGACCTTACCCCTATGGTATAGTCAAACAAATCATACTCACAGACTTGCTCCCCAATGCTGATGGAGTCTTTTCTACATAATCCTTGATGATGGACATAGAGGAAAAAGTAGAAGCAATAAATCTCACGCTAGCAAAGATAGTATGGAAAGGACATCAGCCTAAAAAGATGAATTTCTTCCTTTGGGAAAGACCGCATAAAGCCATTAACACAAGTGAAAATCTTTAAAAAAGAATGCCTTACATCACTCTTTCTCCAAATTGGTGTCCATTATGCAAGAAAGAAAACGAATCACAAAACCACTTATTCATGCAATGCACATACGCTCAGAATTTCTGGATAACGATTCTCAATATATTCAGCTGACATCTCACATTTCCTAGAGAGGTAAAGGATCTATTGGATATGACCTTAACGTTCCACCCCTTCAAGAATGCAAAAGTCCTACTATGGGTAAACTTCATCATGGCTTTCTTTTGGAATTTGTGGAAAGAAAGAAATCAGATAATATTGGCAGAAAAGACACCAACTTATTCAAAACTTTTCGTCAGTATTGTTTACCAAGTTATATCTTGGTGTAAACTGTCTAAGGTCTTTTGTAAACACCATGAATATTACATTCTTTTGTAAATTAATGAAGTTGTCTCTTATCAAAAGAAAAGAAAAGAAAAGGGAAATAGAATCAGATTTTGGACTGAGATTTGGGTGGGAGAAAGCACCACGAAAGATCCTGTTCCCTGGTATATATATGGTTTCAAACCCAAAAAATTCAACTATTGCTAAGTGCTGGAATGAAAGCCATTTTGATTGGGACCATAGCTTCAAAGACGGCTGAATAGTTGGATGCGTTTGGTAGAAACTTTAGATTCAGTGCAGCTTGAATCGGACGAGGACAGTGTGAGATGGACCTTGATGAAACTTACTGAAACAAGGCCTATCATTAAGTCCCCTCTTATCAATCTGATATGGAGAGCTAAAATTCCTTAAAAGATTAAGGTTTTCCTATGGTCCTTGCTCACAGAAGCCTTAACATCTGATAAGCTACAAAGGAATTGTCGAAAATTGACTTGTCTCTCTCCATGTGCTGCCTA